CGGGTCTGGGGAGAGCATTTGTAGCTTCCCTTCTCCAGTCATTAAGGTCAGCTCCATCAGGGGCCAGGGCCAGGCAGTGTGGCCTCACCAAGGCTACGGGACAATCCCCTCCCTCTGCCTTAGGCGTCTGTTGGCAGTTTCACCAAACAGAGGATCCTAAGTCTTGCCGCTGACTTGGCGATTCCCCTACAGAATGTTGCACTTTTTTTTTGTATTAGGACTTGAACTCGGGGCCTTTGTGCTGAACTACATCCCCAGTCCTTTTATTTATTTATTTATTATCTATTTTTTGAGACAGGGTCTCATTAAGCTGTTTAGTTGCTCAGGCTGGACTCCGACTTGGCGATCCTCCTGCTTCAGCCTCCCAGACTGCTTGGATTACAAGTGCGCACCACCATGCCCTGCTTCAGTGCAATTCCTCCTTGACCTCCACATCTACCTGCTAGCAAATCATGCCCGTGGCTTACTGGCTTCCAAGAGCCGGCCTCCCTCCTGGCGATTGCCTCCTCTTCCTGCTAGGAATTCATAGTCCACTGCATTTAACTGAAGAGAAAATGGAGGTCCAGAGAGCCACAGTGATTTGCTAGAGCACATGGGACAGGCACAGAGGAGGAACTTGGGCTTAGAAAAGTTATGTGGTTTGTGGTGACCACAAAAACAAGGTCCCTTCAAGAGTCCCTGCCACGGGCACAGTGCCCTGGCTGACCCCCACTGCCTCGGCCCGGGGTCTGCAACTGGGCTGCTCCCAGCCTGGGGTAGGAGTGGCAGGCAGACTAAGCCGGGCTCTTCGGCTGCATGTCAAGCCCTCTCGGGGGATCTCTGCTTGGGGTGGCCCTGGGCCTGGCCGACTTTCTGTGAGCTGCCCTGCGGTCTGAGCCCCCTCCTGGCCCTCTTCCCCTGATCTCTCTGCAGTGTCCACAAGCTCCATCCCAGCTCCAGGCTCCCTCTGGCCCCTGCCTGCGTCTGTCCCCTTGCCCACACCTTTCACGGCTTTCCCACACTAAACCTGGGGCCACACGGCCATTGCCTGGCCGAGAAGGGACTGAAAGCCGGGTCATTGCTGCCCCTGAAATTCTGCCTCTATAGAGAAGTCTTGAAGGAATAATTGGACCCTTTTCTTTATGTCTCCTTCAAACCACCTGAGCATGACAAACCTTGTTTTTCTCCTTCCTCCTCACATCATTAATATCTCTGCTCATTCCCTCCTCCCCCGAGGAGATGCAACGTGCTAGCACAAAAAGACAGAACACATTCTCTAAAAGCGATCTATCTGCCACCAATGATTCCTGAAAGAATACTTTTCCTTTCACTACAGAAAGCAAGTGAAGGTGAATTGTCACAGAAATAAATAGTGGCTTCGGGAACAAAATCAGCCTTATTTTTAGAACACCGTCAACTCCAAAGTGATTGTCTCAGTCCCTGAGCGGCACCCATCACGTGGGGAGCACGTGTCCCTCAGTCACGCTCACCATGGTCCTGTGCAGGCTGGCACCCCTCTTCACAGGAATGGCAGTGCCACCTGCCTTTGTGACAGGAGCGCAGTGTCATTCCGGCTAGACACCCCCAGGGTAGAACTGCAGTTGGCTTCTGCGTTGGCTCTGGAGCAGGAAAATTTAAAACTACCTGGGTTTCTGCAACTCCTGGGGAAGCTGGAAGAGCAAGTGGCTGGTGGGACTGTCCCCAAACTGGAGGGCTCTGAGACTGGTCTGGGCCGCAGCGGGGGGTGAGCAGGGCTTCTGGTCTCGCCACACTTCCGTGCTCCTGGCAGAGGCCACTGGTGCATCCTGCAACATCTGTGCGGGAGAGGAGCGCAAGATTAGGATGCTAGTTACAAGGTGTGGGGAGAAGAAAGACTATCCTGCCCAGCACCTGACTCACTTTTCACGGTCCAGCAAACAGTCCCATGGGCACAGGAAGTTCCCACCGAGAGCCCTTCCTGTGGGTCACTGGCTAGCATTGAGCGGGAGAGAAGGGAGAGCCAGAGCCCATCTCAGCTCCTCTGCCAATCAGTGTCCTGGTGTGGCTTTGTATACGGGCCTTTTGCCTCTAGGGAGGTATACACAGGACTGAAAGGGGCAGAGCATCATTCGTTGGGGGATCAAAGCCTTAGCACCTCTAAATATCCCCTTTCTCTTGCTCTCTTTGGGGAGGATGTGTGTTATTTTCATCCTATACGAACCTGGTCTCGCTTTGGAAATCTGTGGCATCTGCAGGTACCCAGCCCCCTTCCCCATCATGGAGCACTGGAAGGAGTGGCATCCCTTAGACAGCCTGTGTGCGGCCAGCAACACAAGACAGCCGTAGCCAGATAGTGGGCATTGAGCCAAAGAACTGCCATCTCCCCTTGCTGGCCATTCACTGGAACTTTTGCAGCAGGAAGGGTGAGTGGACCCAATCAACACTGACAGTAACCTCAAGATGAACAGCTTTGGTAACCTCCTTTGCCACCAACTCTTCCTTAATTCTCATCATCTTTCAAAGAAGCCGGGCTCAAAGCCTTGGTCATCACAGACACCCAGCTCCTTGGCCTCTTTCACTCCATCCTCGTGTCCAACTGCTCCTCTCTGGGACCTATTTTGTTTCCACACTTTGCCTTTCTAGTGTCTCTGCCCTGAAAGTCAGCCTGATTCTCCTGACTGGACTATGGCAGTAGCTTGCTGGTTTAACTCCTCGCCCCTAGACTTTTCCTGCACCTAACCATCCCACAGGCTGCTGCCAGTTTCATAATCTGTTTTTTTTTGGTACCAGTGATCAAACTGAGGTCCTTGTGCTTGCAAGGCAGGTGGCGGAACCACTGAGCTAAATCCCCAGCCCCAGTTTCACAATCTTTAATCTTTAAAGCAGTTTAAAGTACACCTTTCCGTAGCTTTACAGTGGTGACCGAAATTGTCCAAAATAACAGAGGTCATACGAGGTTAGCCTGGTCTGATGCTAGTGTGTGACTGCAGTTACCTCCCCCTACCAGCCGTCTTCTTTCTCCACCAATGTCCCATTGTTTATCGTGCTTTCCTAATCTACAGAGGCACTCAGAGGACAAGTCGTGGGATTTTACAGCCCTGAGTTCAGATGTTGACCCTACTATTTACTGACAGGCTGTTCTTGGGCAAATGTTTGAAATGTAGTTTCCTGGCCTATGAAGTTGGCATTTTCCTCTGCTCTCAGAAGGGTACGGGGCAAACAGGAAGAGACTACATGAAACCTTGGGAGGACCAAAGAATGCATGCAAAGCGGCTTATACCTGTGAGAGTCACCCACATCCTGCCTCCAGCTTCCGGCTTCTGTACATCTAAACTCAACACATGCTCGGGCACCCCAGCTCCTGGGTCACCTCTTCCAGATGACCCCCCCTCATTGCCATGACAGGAAAATTCCTGTTGCACCATTCCAGTAGCATTTCATGTCCCTCTCATTTAGGTTCTTCTTATGATGTATGTCAATAATGACTAACATGTATTACACGCTTACTGCATGCCAGGCCCTTCTCTGAGTGTTTTCTGTTCATCTCATCATTTAATCCTCACAACAACATTATGAGGTATGACTGTTATTTATCTTCATTTACATTGGAGCAAGACAGTTTAAGCAATTATTCAAAGGCCTGGATCCAACCAATGATAAGGCCCAGTGTGAATCCCGGAAGTCTGACCTGAGGTCCAGTACTGAGGCCTAAACTTGTTGTATCCTCTCACCTACAGGGATTTTAGAGGTGGGACTAACATCTTCTATCTGATCTGGGGCTTGCACAGAACTGAGGGGAAATTAAACAATGTAATCACAGCATCTCCCACAGCAGCAGCGCTGGTCCCACCGAACGTGTCCACTGGACACCCTGCAGACATCTGGGACACCACACACCACCAGCTCCACTTCCCCTCTGTCCCTCCAAATCCTTGTCCTCCAATCTCCATGGACACATCAGACTGGATGCCTTGCACTGTCCTGTCTCTCCCCAGTCTCTCATATCCAAACATTGTCTGAGTCTAGCATATTCTATCTTCTAATGAGCTTTAGCGACTGTGCTGGTTCTGTCTCTCAGTAGCTATCGGCTTACAATGAAAAAATGAATGTACAGCTTCATTTCTGAGGGGACAATTCTAAAGATGCTCCTCTGGCAGCAATAAAAGGACAAGCCTTTGTGTCCACGAAATGTATTTCTCTGCAACAGCATAAAACACTTCTTATGCGTTATCCACTCATAAACTACAAATCATCGCGCAGCACAGAAAAATTAGAAAACACAACATGGTGGAGGTTGAATAAGTGCAGTTGAATAAGAGCAGAGGATCGCTGTTCAGAGAGCACAGGCTGCAGGGCTGGAATCCCACCTCTGACCAGGGAGCTGAGCAAACTACTCAACTGTTCCAGCTGCAGCCCTGTGAGATGTGGCTAGCGACAGTGTGTACTGCACAAGTGGGAGGACTTTGTAAGAAAATCCACTTGGAGGGAGGGCTTAGTGCAGTGCCTAGCAGACTGGGGTGCTTGTGTTATCCATTCATCTTATTCTGTGGCCCCACACATGGGAGGTCACACCGCTGACCTCAGGCAGAGCAAGGAATTCCTTCAGACCTAACCCTGTGTTCAGTACGCAATGCCTCCACGCTTGGAGTGTCCCTCTCAGGCTCTCTCAGTGTGACACATGGGGATCCCTCAAGAGCGATGCCTGGTCCCACTTCTAAAGCCTCTGACCTGGGATTCCAAAGCTCCCTGGCTGTTTCTAATGTGCAGTCAGAGGTAAGCCCACGACTTCGACCTGGCCTGAGTGCACACCCACATCTTCTCATAGGTTGTCTGTGGGCACAAGAAGGGCACGGCCCTTGTATTCCGGAGAAAAATCACCGGACCTGCTGTAGACACAGCAGAGCTGTCCAACGAGAACAGATCAGCTACAGAAATTCAGCAACTTGAGCAAAGTTTCTATTAGCCACCAGGCAACTTTTTAGGGGCAGTTGTCAACCTTGAACAGGGGTCTCTTTAAATAGCTGTTAATGTTTCTTCAAGGTTTTTGTTTGTTCCAGATAAGGCTCTCCAGAGAAACCACAAGGAACTGGCGTAAGCCGCCAATGCTGCCTCTTCTAGATGACCTAGAGGAAACTGCTCATTACAGCCTCAACATAGTGCTACATTCTCTGTTCAGAGTGCTTCTGTTCACTTGGTTTTTTTGGGGGGTGTCCTAGGAATTGAACCAGGTCATTCACACTGAGCTACATCCCCAGCCCTCTGGTTTAGTTTGTTTTTGTTTTTTAATTTGGAGACAAAGTCTTGCTAAGTTGCTTAGAGTGGGTTTGAACTTGCAATCTTCCTGCTTCAGCCTCCCAGAGTGTGGGGGTTACAGACATGTGTTGCCACACCCAACTCTATCTGGCATTTTTGGAACATGTAATACATGAAGACCCCTGGGCTGGGGATTTAGCTCAGTGGTTCTGCCGCCTGCCTCGAAAGCACAAGGTCCCGAGTTCGATCTCCAGTACCCAAAACAAAACAAAACAAATATATGAAGACCCCTGATCTCCAGATAAGATCGGGCGTGTTCAGGGTGGTATAGCCATGGACAAAGCATGATCTACAGCTGAACACATTTAGGAATGTGCTCATTTCTATATGTGAGATGAGGGTCTTCAATATGAATATGAAAGCCCCTGGCTTTCTTTGTTGAAAGGCAGGCACTACTTTGAGAATTAGTCCCCAACATCTCCTTACTTACTGAAAGGAATAAACCTTTCTTTACGCTCCTACCTCCTGGCTGTGCTTATTGGCTTTGCGTTTACCAAGGCCAAAACCATTGCATTCAGTAATGGTTTTATTTGTTCTGTGACTGAAAAATTTGGCAAATTTTCAAAAAGATAAAAAACAAAAGCCCAAAAGAGAATCGTTTTGCTATTTGGGCACAATTCCACTGCAGGTGGCAGTCAATGCCACTTCACGGAGGCACTGACCACTACGGAGCTGGTGATCCCTCCCCTTTCCCACCTTCGGCCACCTGGCTGGCCCAGGAGAACCCTGCACTGGAAGTGAAGCCGAGGCGAGGCTTTGACACTTACTTTGTTCACGTCGAAGGTCCTGGCCTTGTTAAACCTCGTGGAGCCTTTAAGTAACATTAGGAAAGGTGGTTTGTTCAGACTGCAGCCTCCCAGGGACACTTCTCTCTTGGTAGATTTATTAGTAAAATCTAGGACCTCAGGGCTCTCCATAAACCTGGAATGGGACAGAAATGAAAGTTGCTTCATAGCAATCCTCCTGCCTCAGCCTTCCAAGTACTGGGATTACAGGTATGCACCACCACACCCAGCAAAAAAAAATAAGATTCTTCAGTCATGGGTCCTCGTATATTTGTATTCTCAATGAATACCACAGCCACAAGCCAGAGGGAGGTGTGGGGGAAACCTCACTGACTAGGATTGTGGAAAGATAAGGTAGGGCCAGAATGTTGAGCTATTCTCATCAATACCCAGAAATACAGAAAAAGATCACCCACCTCTGGATGAAAACATTGCTGATACAACCCTCGAAAGCGCTCCCACCCAGGTGGAGGGACTGTGGGGAATTTGAAACACTCTGTAGCCTCTGGTCCTTTCGGAGAGGTTGGTCATCAATGAGAAGCCGGAGGCTGAAAGAGGAGGACAGAATGCAGATGAGGACTGCTAGGAAAGAGACGCCTGACGTGGGGTCAGTTCACGCTCTTGACGCAGACTCAGTGTCTGTTATTCAAGAGAACTGGCTAAGCATTTAAATTTACTTTCATGTCTTGTTTTTTACACATAACACTTGCATTCAATATCGTAAACATACAGAAATTGAGCCTATTATAATTGTTTGACTCAAAAAGTCTCACAACATGGATACATCAAAATAACCTGTTCCCAGAGAAAGAAACTGAATAGTCCAAGCCAAGAACTCCACTGTGTGTCGTTTTTCGGTCTCTAGCTTCCCTCCTTCTTTACAAATAACCAACATCCTGAATTCTGGAAGAATAATGTGCTTTTGAACTTTGTAGGGATGAGATCATAGAGGATGATTTCTTTCTTTTCTGGGTGACTTTTGCGCCACATTATGTTTGTAAGGTTCATCCATATCATTACGTACAATTTCATACTTTCCTTTTTCATTGCAAGGTGTAGCAGTCCATTCTGAACACACCACAATTTATCCGCATTCAACTATCAATTTATTTTTAATGAGGATCGTGATACAGAACAAGGAGGAAGACCAAGACTTCCGAGTAAAATTAAGAATAAATATTTTGCAGATACCAGAAAATTCCATGCCTGTAAGTAAAGTAGAGCTCTTGAACCCTGGCGGGAAGTGTGCCTTCACTCACCCTGAGGTATCACTTATTACAGAGATGTAGTGCAGTAAACCATCCATGTACGTCTGAGGAGACTTAAGAATTGGGCTGTTGCTCTCCCTGGTGCTCAATTCAATGTGACCGTCTTCCAGAGTTACCTGCAGGTTACTTGTCTGAAATCATCACAGAAAACAACCATCAAGACTTAATTGGCATTTATGATTATGAATGCTGAATTTATGATCCCAACTGTGTATAAAACAGGATGTTTTGACCCAAATATTTTGACACCCATTTCAATCTAAAGATTATTTTTGAATATTTTGACTCCATGTTTATGAATATAAAAATCCTACGCAAATTACTTTAGCACTTATAAATTTGTCAAAATCATTTTTCTGGACCTAATATTTATTGAGATAATCTAACTGCTCAGTCAGTTATCCAAAACAGTCATTTCTAAATTTTTCTATCTTTCTTTCTTTCTTTTTTCTTTTTTGGTACCAGGTATCAAACTTGCCTTGTGCTTATAAGGCAGGCAGCAGAACTACTGAGCTAAATCACCGGCCCTAAATTTTTCTATTTTAACTTTCATTTTTCTAAAGTTATTTTCACCAGAATCAATTCTTTTCTGAATACACTTTAGAGCAAAAAGTCGATTCATCATTTTTTTTTTTCATATAGGATTACAACAATGATTTCTTCTCTTTGGTCATCATGAATTTTTAATTTTCTGGTCATTATTTTTAGGAAGCCCAATTTTCCATGTCAAACTGTGCAGATGTAAATTTTGACAAGATGATTTCACTTTCAGTCAATTATGAATTTTAAAATGTGTAATTTCAGCAGTTGTCATTGAAATTTTTTTCTGCAGTTTTCAGCACGATGCGATTTTTTGAACTTTCAATCTAAAACAATTTTGAGAGTATACGGTTATATCCATCACTAGCTTTATTTCTGTGATGCTTTGTTCAGCTGGCAGTGCTCTTTGTGACTAGGATAAAGGAACTGTTCACATATATGTGCATTTGAAGGCAGTGTCCCTCAGACACGTCTAGGATTCCTCTTCTCCAGATTGGAGCTGATCTTTGGCTAACCCAATTCTCCCATTTGTGATTCATACACCAAATGTTCCCAATGTGGCAGAAGAGCATTAGGTGTCACAGTTAGGCCAAAACGTTCTGCTTTGATGGAAAGGCCACCTGACAGTATAATGTTGGCTTCTGATTTTTAAGGACTAGTTTTAGAGAAAAAAAAAAACAAAAAACAACTCTCTAGGGCCAGGCATTTAGCTCAGTGGTTCTACTGCCTGCCTTGTAAGCGCAAGGTCCCAATTTCAATCCCAGATACCAAAAACAAACAAACAAACAAACAAACAAACAAACACTCTCCAATGGCCGGAGGAAAAAATAGCGAGAGATGAGGTTTTCCTAACACTATACAGCCACAGATCTGGCTGTGGTCATCGTCTTCTTAACAGAACCTAGATATATGTTGTGCTCGATGCTCCTAAGGAGACAAATCCAAGAATAAAGGTATTCTACTTCTGCCTCTGTATGAAAATTGCACTAATTCTGAAGTGGATTCCCAAGAACTTGCTGACTGCTACACCTCACGTCCAGCTAACCTCTCCTCAGCAGCAGCGGCCCCTCCTTGTGGATGAGAATTCTATGGCTCTGCTGCCTGTAAGCAGAGAACAAAGGACCTGATTGCCGCCCATCTCCCAGGTGTAAATACTCTCCAGCTAGATGTTGCAGGAAAAAAAAGGAATCTGAAGATCTATTTTTTGTGTAGCCCAAAAGGAACAATAGACATACATTCTGATTTTCTTTATGCTTCAACTTTTAGCCACATCATTATTCAGAAGTTATAATTTATTTTGAATCATCAAATATACCTATCAAGCACGAAAACAAGTCCAGGAATACGTGCAAATTTGGTTCTATAAATTAATATGTACATTCTAAGCCAGATTTCTTTTGGGACCTACCGCAGCCTGGGGGTATAACTTCCCTGCTTGAACTATACAACAGATTTACTTTGATGACTGGTACAATGCCTTACTACTCTACCGCCAAAATCTTCCTGTTACTTTCAACAAAGAACTTTGAGACAGGTTTAAAATTGTCCAACATGAAGGCAAGATCTCTCACCCGCGTCTGATAATATAGCAACACACCACTGGGCTGGAAGGTCTGAAAGCCAAAGGAGGCCTGGAAGTGGCCAGGGGGCGGCACATGCAGGTTAGTGAAACTCAGCTGTCCTCCTCTGGAGAAGGAGGCCGACCGCACAAGCTGAAATGCAAAGTGGATAAGTTACTGGCCTTGTCATCATTTCATTGCTGAAACACAGTATCCCTGACCAAGAACTGATGAATGTGATTCACCGGAGGCAGAAAGAAACAGTGTTTCTCTGCATAACAAGTTGCCAATTGGTCGTAAGGTTTTGGTCATGTAGCTGGATCCCTCCTTCCCCTACAAATTCTGTATGCAAACCTGAAGGGACTCTGTCCCGTGCAAGTACATGGGCAGTGTAGTGGCCAGTTCACTGCAATGCTTGCTAGCAGCAAAAAGCAAAAGTTGGTGCACTAATGCCTTGGGAAGACGGGCTTACCTGCCAGTCTTCAGAGCACTTTTTGGTCACTCCCACAGTATCATTCAGTCTCACGACACCACTGGTCTTCTTCAGATTTTTCATGCAGCCTCGGAAAGCAGGTGTAGAAATATTAAACCTGGGGATTCAAAAGAGGAGGAGACGCTCACTCGGGGCTCACCTGAGAACTGGGGCCGAGACGCTTGCTCTCCAGTACTCTCCACTGCCCGCCCTGACACAAGGACTGTCCCTTTGATGGGTATCTGTTCCCTCAGGATTCCTAAAATGCCGTTTATTTTGTGATGCTTGACTTTCTTTCTGAGAGACCCTTCATTCTCAGTTTTACAGACAATAATGTTGACAGAAGAAAGACTGGTGTCCCCAGAATGTCGCGGGATGAAAGACACAGGAGATCCAGTTTTGCTCATCCTCCACTCCCAGAGCCATGGCATTGCATGGTGGATGGGAAACATATGGACAAGCTAGCACACAACACATATCATCCAAATGGATGTTAAGAAGAAATGGACACACCGTTAATTAGGTGTCAAGAATCAGAAATGTTTCTGACAACTTTTTCAATATTTTTTCCATTTACTCTTGAGGGAGTCATTTCAAACTCAGAAGAAACAACATATTATTTTTGGGTTCAATTCAATTATGGGAAATGGAGCTCAATTTAACAAATGCCAAGCTAGAGGGAAAAGAAAAAAAATATGAGAAAAGGGAAAAATGGAAACAAAAATCTTTGTAAATAGGGAAGGGTGAGAGGGTGAAGGGAGGGCAGGGGAATGGGGAAAAATAAGAACCAAGATGCATCGTGTAAAGGTACAAGATCCCAATGATGAATGTAACTGTACTGTGTACCTAAAATGTACTGATAAATGCAATGAAAAAAAATGCCAAGCTGGCCCCACAGAAAGCACTGTCTGGGGTTAAAGCTGTATCCATTGCCTCCTGACTTTGTGGTGTGGGTAAAGGGTTACTGCGAGGATTAAAATCAGCTAAGGCACGGGGCAAACTCAGAAGGCCCTCAGGAGGTGCTTCTAGAGGCAGGACTGTTCTCTAGAGCCAGGGTGCCTGGGTTCAAGTTCTGTCCCTGCTGCTTGAGCAGGCGGCCTAATTCTCTCCGCTCCTCTTTCCTCATCTGTACCATGGGACCATATTCATTTGATTCATGGGGTTGTCCTGAGTTTAAACAACACGTGCAGCACACTCAGGTGGGGCCTGGTGCAGAGAGAGGGCTCGGGGTGAGACCTAGGTGAGTACAGGGCGGGGAACTGGCTGTATCACCAGGTGTCCTTGGTACTACGGCAGCTCTTTCGACGCGGCACCTCAACGTCTTCCCTTTGATTGGACTTCTGAATCTGTCTCGAGCTGAATCCACACAAAGCATAACTGACTAAAGTCCAGGCAAATATTTGTGTTTCTTAAGCAGTTGATGTGGTAAGAAAACCCAAGCTGATATTTCATGATAAATCCCCCTGGCAGCTCACTTTTCGAAATGCAAAGGTGCCTGCATTCATTTAGTCCAATTCATGATAATCAGTGGGTCTGCACAGAACATGCACAAAGTGAATTTCACTAGAAGGGAGAGGAGGAGACGAATCCTCGCTGGCCCAGCTGCATGAGCTTCTTTGTTTTGTACAGATGACTTTTGGCCTCAGAAGGGGAAGAAAGTTTGTCTTCGTTCCTGAGCTGGTCTCCTATTCATATTTTTAGGCCCATTTTCTCTTGGGCCATCTGAGGCCTGAAATCCTGTGTTTAGTGAGCTGGACACACTTGCTGGAGGGAGGCAACCGTGTGGGGCTCAAACTACTGTGTTAATGGGTCCCCTTTGGGTTTACCTGGCAAGAAAGCATATCCTGCTTCCTGACTGTCGAGGGAGAACTCAGAGAGCTGTAAGAACAAAGCCTGACCCTGAACCCAGAGTTGAATACTCAGTAAATGTCCAACAGATCCTTGACTTACTTTCCTGTCTCAAGTTATTTTCATGCTTTATGATTAAATTCTAGAACACAATGGGCTAAGTCTCCGAGAAAAATTTCCTCACTGGGACCAGATCTTTGGCATCATGGGGGGTGACTTGCTCTTCTGGGAAGCAGTGGGATCAGCGGACTGTGATTTCTGGGTCCCCATCCTCAGAAAATAACTACAGTGCGAGGAAGATGAAAAACACCCAAGAAACCACTTGAGCAGAGCTGCCTTCTTTGGCGAAGGCAATAGTGTGCTGTGAGCCTCTGACCATTCATGTGCACACAGGCCTCGAGTTTACACGGGGCTCAGACCCCGCCCTGCAGAGCATGGCTGGGGGTCATGGGTGGAAGCCCGCCTGCCCCCTACTGACCCACCCCAGGGTTGTTTCAGGACTCCCTATGCCTCCAAAGACCACCGAGGGCCCAGCAGGCCAGAAACAGCAGAGTATTGCTCAGCATTTCACTTTTGAGGGAGTAAAAGGCCAAGGAAATCTCCTGCATTTTCCATATTACTGTGATTTTAATTAAAAGTCAGAGTCTAGACATGCCCAGAAAAGGGGCCTGGTGTGTAAGATCCTAAGTCAGAATACTAGGAAAATCCTGTCTGTTTGTCTATCTATATATATTTATCTGCACCTCTGTATCTGCTTATGTATTTATTTCTTTAAAGGGTAAAGACAGAAGGGCAAATAAAACTTGGGTACTGACAACCAGAGGTTACATCATTCTTTGGTGGCAGAGCCAGAGCGAAGTCCACTTTTGCGGTTCTGTTCTCCACCCTTTTCTAGAAAGCCAGGACTGGCTGGCACCACTCCCACTGCTGACTGTGGGCTTTTAATGCCCCCACATGCAAACCTCCAATCAATGGCTCCTTCCAGGTCAGCTGGAGAGCTCCCTGTGGCTCTGGGTTGGCCCACCTGGCTCCATACCTCCGTGATCAGGTCTCCTTGAGATCATTTACCCCATCTCTGACTTGTCTTTTGTCTGGAGGTCCAGGCCATTATGTACCTCTGCCTGGGGCTTCTCCCCCAGCTGTGTCTGTGAAAGTGTCTCCCATTCTGTCCTCCTGACCTCCACCCACCCACATGCTCAGCAAAGAACCAGCCATCCATTTCGGCTCCCCAAGTCTAGGCAGCTGGTCAGCCATGCCTACCTGCCACCCTCCATATATCTGGAATCTGCTCGCTTTTCCTCACCTGCTCTGCCGTCCCCCATTTCCCTGGGCCAGGCCACCTCATCCTTGCTCTACTTTCCAGCCCCCTGCCCACCTCTGCCCTTCCTCTCCCCTGTTCCAATCTCTGCCCTTCACTTAAGCAGGCCACTGAAACACAGAGATGGGCAGAGTGTTTCTCTGCCAAAGTCCTTCCCGCAGGCCCTCCACAGCCTGCAGGATTCTCTGAGGCACCCCCTGCTTCCCACACCAACCCCACAGTCACCCTGCCCTGCTTCCTGGTGTGCTCCGGCTCTGAAGTTTGCGCTGAGGAGCTCTTGGCTCGTCACACATGCTGACGGCTCGCAGCTCTCACGTCCCAGCTACACACCACTTGCCTGGTGTCCCCGACTGGCTCAGATTCCCTCCAAGCTTTCGGCACACTGAGCTCCTCTATCCCGGAACATGGAACACGACTGTAGTGACAGTCTCTCTCCCACTCTTCCTTACGCTCTGCCCGGCTCACTGCCTTCCCACCACCTGTCACACTGCCTGGTGCACACTGGGCACTCGACAAATGCTTGTGTAGTACACAGGGGATGACTTGCAACTCTACTCAGAAGTGCTGAGTACCCACCTTAAGTAACTCTTCGCACATTTAGTTGAATAATATCAAAACTACTAACAACTCACAACGGGCTCTTCATGGCTGCACTGCTATTGAATGTTGATCTCGCTAAATATTAACATCATGTTTGGACTCTCACTGTCTTCATCGGTAAAATTCACGGGTTATACACTATTATTTGCAAGATCCTTCTAGGTCAGACACTCACTTCCAAATTCTTTCAAGCACCAAGCTTTCCCACCTGTGTTTGTGTCTTTGGGATCAACTTATAAACACACATGCAGTACTACTCCTGGCTGATTTTGTAAGTTAGAAATAAAGTTACTGAGCTCTAGATCTCTTCTAAAAGTCATCATAATCAAACATTCTGTGGTCCTCTCAGCTGGGCTGAGGTGCCAACCAGTACTCCCAGCTATTTTCTTTTCACATATTGCTCTTAGCTATCTAAAAGCCTTTTTAGATGCTATGAACAAATTGCCTAAATGTAAAAGTTATTTCTGCATGCATTTTCAAAGTGGTGGGGTATTTTTTTTTCTCACTCAGATTACACTTTACAGCCTTTCTAGAATAAGTCACGTTCATTTATGCAAGGACAAGTTACAGACTTATTTCACACGCCACAGCAGCCACGGGGCCGTGACACAGGTGTGAACAGTGTGTCTTCAATTTCTCGAGAAACTTCCTGATGGATGTAACCTCAGCTTTCAGAAGCCTGTCAGGCCATGGGCCACCTTCACAGCCCCGCAGCCCGGGGCCACAGCCTCTCTCTGCTGGTCAGCTCAAGGACACTCTGCGTGGCTTCTCTCCTTCCAAAAATAACAACATGGGTAACACACAGCTCCCCCACAGTTCCCCCTTTTAAATATCTTTATAACCTGTTCTACACTGTCGACTACACTGTTAATACTGAAGAGTTAACTTTGTGTTTGTTTGTGGTTAGAATTAAACAAGATAGACGAGATTTACTGGTGGCAATCATTACCACTATGACAGGCAATCTGCTTTTTTAAAAAACAATATTGTCTTACCTTTCCCTGATTGCAATTGGAATTCCACCCAGATAATACACGCTGAAATCAAATATTTTCCCTTCAATTCTAATATTTTGATCATCCACATTTATTCTCATAAGGTTTTGGATTTTTCCAATTTTGATTAGAATCTGGAATAAATGAGAGATGAATCAGCAAGTGATGGGAAATAAATGAATCCCACATGCAGTGGCTCACTCAGAGCTACTCTGTTTGTATTTGTCTTCCTTCAGGTTCATTTACACACATGGTAGGAAGACAGCAGAGTAGCAGTTTGGCAGGATAATCTGATACTAAAACATTTTAATGAATGATTTTACATGAAATGAACTATAGTTTATACATATCATATGCATCACATACTTCATCCCAAATGTTCAAATTTTAAAAGGGTGCATCCCCCAGTTAATAAATTTATCTGGTAATAGAAGATTCATATTTAGTTCAGTTTTTGTATTTTGGCCCCGAATTCATTTTAAAGGTAGATATTTAACAATTCAAGTAAACGGACTCCAAGGACATACCAAATGATCTTTCCCATTGTTGATGGTGCCTCTAATTCTTTTATCTCTTGGTGGCTCGGAATCCAGTTTGTATCGCACCGTGACACTGCCATCTTCTATATTTAAGGATATGAAGTGATCCTGGGGTATGGAAACAATGAAGATTACCAGAAGAGCCAGATCACCGGAACTCGAGTTATTCTCAAGTCACTAACTACACTCAGCTTTAGGTGAAGACCAAATCCCTTGGGTGGGTCTGATGGTGAGCTACGTAAATCACGCTCAACTTCGCGTTCAGCGCCTGGCGCGCAGGACAGACAGTATAAGCTATCAGTCATTGGGATTTTGTATCACACCATCCACAACCAGCTTGTCAAGTAGAAACTGAAAGATACCGATGATTGTAGTCCTTTGCTAATCATTATTTCTGAGAGGGACACAGTCTTACTCAATCCTCAGGTATTTTCCACTGGATATTTTCTAGGTTTCAGTCTCTTTGTTCTCTTATCCCTTCTACAGCCCATTTCAGTTTTGGGGTCTTTTTCAGGGGGTCACACATAACACTTCTCCTCCCTTCACACCACCCCCTTGGCCTGGACACCACTGTCACTCTTGTGACTCCAGTGTGGCTACACCCATGAAGGCTGAATGTTTCTTTCCAACCAGGGCAAGTTCTGTAGATTGGATTCCTTTGTTGCTATCCTTAGTGCTCAGATGGCTCACAGATCCCGCAGATTCCCAGTAATCCAAACAGGATTTGTGAACACATGCCTTCCACATGCTGCCAAGCCTGACTCTCTCTAGCTCAAGGCTTTCTTTCACTCTGTGTACACCTTGCTGAGATGCCTAAGAGATACTCCTGACCCATCCTTCTTTCCTGGACAAGCAAACCTTGTGAATTTTTCCCTAAGCCTCTCAGGTCATCTCCCAGTTTTAGTTACAGTGTCTCCAGCCAGACTTCACAGCAGTGGCCCTCTGGATTCTCCATGTTCCCTCTTGCATTATTTCCAAGCTGCAGCCAGAGCAGCCTCTGACCACATCAGTGCAAGCTGTCACTTTCCTTTTCTCTCAGGACACTTTCTTTTCTCTCTTGACTCCCTGGCAGATGCTGAGAGGTACTGCCCATCTCTTTCCTTTGTCCCTCAACATTCTCTCTTGCCCTGGAGACCCAGCCACACAGACATCCCCCACCCCTGCGTGCAACTTCCATGGCTGGGTGCTCCTGCCCTTCCATCTCCAGGCCTTCTGCGTGTGTCTTTCTCCCTTCTGCTCTGATCCCTTCAAGTGTCATCTTCTACTTGTCCTCCAGGCCTCAGATGAAGTATCCTCTGTTAAGCAAGACCTTTATGGCTTATACCCTCATTCTTCCTCTTTGTGGCTCCTTGCAATTAGAGGGCTGATGAACTAGCAATTAACCTATGAGCAGTGTACCTTTGTGTAACACCCATCTTTCCCTTTAGAGGTCACGAACCATGTCTGTCTTGGTCACTGCTTCCTAGTCTCAGACTAAGGCACGCACTGGAATCAGCTCTTGTCCTTAGTGCTTAGACAAGCTGAGTTCTGACTTAGGACTTGAAGGTTTTGCTCTTTCCCAGTTCCCCATAGTAAGAACACTTGTCTTTGAAGACCAAGGTCAGAGTCTTTACCTAAAAGGAGAATCATTCCTTCTCTGGCTCTAACCCTTGTCCTTGAGACTTAGTTCATCGACTAATGAACAAAAGTAACACCAGCTCCCTGAGAGTAGTGGGCCATCCAACTTAGCAGCAGCTCTCTGAATCATTTCTTATGCAATGGCATTATGTGAGTTCTCTTCTAACATAGACATTATTTCTGACTCTTTGTCTTCAATAATTTTAAAATGCAGAGTAGGTTGAGCATCCCTAACACAAACATTTAAAATATGAAATACTTCAGAATCTAATTTTGTTTGAGCATCAACACAGTGCCATAAGTCTGATAGTTTAAGGTACACAAACTCTGTTTCATACACAAAATTATTAAAAATACCTATAAAAATAAGGTATATATGAAATATATAGAAATTTCTTCTCTAGACTTGGGTCCCATCCCCAAGATAACTCCTTTTATACATGCAAATATCTCAAGTCTGAAAAAGTCCAAAACACTTTTGGTCCCAAGATTTTGGAAAAAGAGATGCTCAGCCCTAACAAAGGTGGCCTGTTTTAGGCCTGCAGATGCTGAATGATGACTTCTCAGGTCTCTTCAACCTTTGGGCCAGGTGGGCTCTTCCCAAACCATCAGAAGTTGTTTTGGCTTAGGTATCTCCAGAAGAGTCCAGGCCAACCTTAAAGAGGAAAGCTGGGCCAAATCTGTGTTTCTCATCCTACAGGGAGAAGGATCTGGTAAAATACCAAGCTTCACATCAGTTCCACCTTCTCAGACCACAGTCCATGGGCTGGGCAAGATTTGTGCAGAAACAGTACCTGGATCAACTACAGAAGCTCCAGGGAGGCCACATGGGAGCCAGAGCAAGCACCATGACCACTCTGCTTGGCCCAGCACATGATGAAGGCATCACTTGTGGGTCATCACTTTGGATTTTCCTAATCTACTGGATTTAAGAATGGTTCCCAGGAACCTCAGAGGCTTTAGAGTAGAAAATCTTCCATGGCTTGGAAAGTCAAGTGCTAAGCTGATAAAAAGGTAATCCCACAGCCTGACAGGAGTCAAACCAAGACTGAAATGGCAGTAAGTCAAACCCAGAAGGTCTTAACTTATCTTTCTTTTTTTTTTTTAAACTCATCTTTAGGCAGGTTAAGTAGGTTTTTAGGCAAGCAATCATTTTCAAAGAATAAAACTGACAACGACAATAGAATGACAAAAGGAGAGATCTCTCCCCATTTTCAAGGCATGTTCTCAAATTCCTGATTTCTTGTCCTCAAAACCCCAAGGCACCCCTCCCCCGGCCATTAGAAAGAAAGCACAATTGGCCAAGAGAAACGATGCAGATCACATCTGCATATTGTTTTTCAGTGCTAGGTAGTTGTTTATGACAACCAGGTTATCCCTACATTGCTGCATAGTATCTGGTAGTGCATTGATGCTTGCAGTAAATTACCTGATTTTCTGCAAAGAACAGCAAACCTCTGTCCATGGTGGTCTGGATTGTCTGTCCAAAGGTTGGGAAGAAAGCATTTGCTTGAGTTGGAACTCGAGCATAGCCTGTACCTTCAAAATAATTTTTGTCTGACTCTTCCTTTCTCCTGTCAAAATCAATTATCATAAGTTAGAACACAGCAGCCAAGGGTCACCATGCAAGTAAGCTTATTAATTCAAGATGCCACCTATGAAAAGTGGAGCAAAGAATTACAATCTAGGTGTCACAATTTTGTCAAAGAAAAAGAAGACATCTTTAATAAGTTAAAAACAGCCCGTTTGGGCTTTTAGAATTGCTTTTAGACCCTAATTCAAAAATAGATAATGTTCAAGGGTCTCTGTTAGACAGGTCTGCTAGGAAGATATGGCCTGCAAACCAAAGAGTGTACAATATAAGAAATGATTGATCTGAAAAATAATTTTATTCTCAGTAACACATACTTGATCTACCTCATACCAGAATATTCCAAGTGCTTTTAATTGTAGGGATTGTTACCAGCTGCTCAAAGCAGCAATTTTCAAATAGGTTCCAATAATAGAGTAGAAACATCCATTCTGTGGACAATTATTTTCTGAAACTTAAAGTAAATATATTATTTTGTGCCAAATTAAAGTACCATATGATGATGTTGAATATTTTGTGGTAGGAGACACCAAAAATCTAAGGATTTAATTTTTAATTAGAAAACCCTATCAATCAAGTATTTTATCCAATTGAGGAAAATCCTGCCATTGTTAGATTTTAGGGATGCACTGGTAACATTGCGTGTAAATATAATTTAAGAACCATAAGCCCAAAGAAACAAGTAGCATCCGTAGTGTCTCACTGGCCACCCCTTCCTACATGTGAAAGCATAAATCAGTTCCCAACCCAGGTACAGAGACACTGGCTGCCCAGTTTCATTTACCGTCTACAAGGTTCCACTTCAGTTGTGTTGAGATTGAAAGTTTTTTTGAAGTTGTACAAGCTCAAAACATTTTCATTGAGGTCATCTAATTCAATGCAACCTTTATATGGAGGGAATCTTAGTTTACTAGGAAGCTGAAAAATGAAACAAAAACCAAAATATTTCCCACTAATTGAGCAGAAGGCAATGGTCACATTGACAAAAAAATTTAAAGTTTATCACTTTGAACAATCAATATCACACAAGGGTTAAGAATGTGGACCCTATCGTGTAAAGGTACAAGATCCCAATGATAAATGTATCTGTATTGTTTGCTTTAAAGGTACCAGTAAATTTAATGGGGAAATAAACAGAATGTAGACCCTGTAGCTAGATGTCCTGGCTTTGCCATTTAGTTTCTATATAACCATGAGGAAGTTATTATACCTCCCTGCCTCACTTTCCTCATCTATAAAACGGAAATGATGATGATATTTATTTAAATTAATATATGTAGGCTTAAAACAGTGTACAGAGGAAGTACTTGGGAAGTGTTAGTTAGCTATTATCATTACACATTGACTCCATTTTACATGCAATTAATCAAAAGAGAGGCATAGGTCATTATGCTGAATTAAAATGTAAATATTTTCTCTCAGTGAGACAAGTTATACTTACTTGAAAATCAGGTGGGTAGCCTCCAACATACAACACAACATTTTCCGGATCCAAGTTGAGGAGCGTGTTGCTGCTTCCACTGTGAGTGTCATAGAACTGGGGCGCTTTGGGTTTAGTGGACGTGGCTTTTTCAGTGTAATTAAGCCTTGCAAACTGATAAATTCTGTTTAAAATTTGATAATAAGGTTATAAGAAAATTAACAAATTAAATACCAAGACACTAAAAACAGAGCTCAGGAACACATACAGATGGAAGAGTGAGGAGTACAGTAAGGGTCACAAAGCTCAGCAGGCAACCACACTTGTACCTCTGAAACTTCACCCTGTCCATAACGGCTTCCTGACTCTCACTCTTGGTCAAGATCTGGTCCACGGAGAGTTCAGCCACTCGGTCGCCCAGGCTGTAGACACAGCTGAGCTGGCCATCCACAACTGCCATGCCGATGTAGTCCCCAGAGGCCTGGAGACACAGAGCCACCTCAGAATGCCTGTTACACTCTTAACTGTGCTCTGTCAACCTTCCACTTCAAGAAGATCTCAAGAGTCTTATCATATAAAATAATGAGTTTTATACAATAAACCTTGGGTAGAGAGAATAAACAAGGTACACCCTCTTATAGACTAGTGCAGAACACTTAATAATGTTTGGGCTGTCTTTGCTCACGTTATGGTAGGTTTACATATTACTTCCCCCATTCATTCAGTTTCCAAACATTTGCCAAACAACCACATAAAGATGGAACGCATAGGGGCCCAATTGTCGATGAGATTTCACCTGATAAGAAGAACAGGCCATTTCTGTTCTCTCAGTACCATGCAAAGTTTTCTTAACCTCTGTGTATGCCTCTGCTATGACACCTCTACCTTGTCATGGACAGTTCTGTATGAAGCTTTCTTTCCTAATAGAATATGAGAGCCTTAAGAATGAAACAGTTTTCAAAATTGTGGTCAAATGTTAAAGTACAACATTTACCATTTTAAACCTTTTTAAGCTTTACACCAGCATCTAGTGCATACAAGAGATAAATTTTTGTTTAGCATGATTACAGGTGTGGCGGGCACACTGTAAGTAGAGTTATCCCTCTGTATCACAGGGAATGGAATCCAAGACCCCAAGGATACCTAAATCTGCAGATGCTCACACCCCTCATATAAAATCATATGGTATTTGTGCATACCCTTTCCTCTTTCTCTCATAGACTTGAAATTTTCTCTAGGCTACCTAGCACAAGGTAAATGTTATATAAATGGTCTGTATACTATGTTGTTCAGAGAATAATGACAAGAAGAAAAGTCTATACGTGTTCAGTGTACAGGCATTTTTTTCTGAATATTTTTCAAGCTACTGTTGTTTGAATCCATGATATGGAATCTGGGGTACAGAAGGTGGACTGCATATGGCATAAATTGTTAAATGTATAAATAATGTGCAACTTGTCATAATACAAAGCAAAAAAGCACTTAATAAAGAAGTTACAAATAATATATCAACACCTTGAAGCAAGAAAAGATAAGTAAAAATAGTGCTGATTTGAGAAACTTTACAATGTCCACTAGTGATAACTAACAATTTCCCAATGAGGTAGAAATTTTCAAGAACCATATTTCAGACATTTCTTTTCCAAAAATTGTGTTCTAACCCAGTCAGAGATTAGCTTATCTTCTGACTTTTAAATTGTGAAGAGTGTATTTTACAGGGAGATACTAAAAAGCTAAAACCAACCATTTGATGTGGTTAATAACGGTCGTAATGTCATGAAGCTGCCACATGTCTGAAAAACACACCCGCAGTTCTTTCTTAGGTGGTGCTGGGATGGACCCCAGACCCTCGTGTGTACTAAGCGGGTGCTCTCCACCGACTACACCCTGAGCCCTGCAGTTCTTGTTGCCAGGAGAGGTTGTTTTGTTCCCACGTTCATCTATAGATCGCCCTCACCCCACAGACCAGGTTGGTCCCAGTGAGGAAGAGAATATGATCACAATTCTATGCGGAGGGGCTGCTGATTCCCAGCAAGCTTTGGTATTGATGCCCCTGCAATAAGGGAAAAGGGCGCTTCCCGCCCCCACCTGCGTGTGCTCCTCAGTACACACAGCGCGTGTGCGCACATGCGCAGAGCACACGTGGTGGTGGGGGCCCTGGGCGTCCATCTGCACCGAACGATCTGCGATGGACAGGGAGTCTCCTGGGTGCCTTCACCTTGTGAAAGTGAGGGGGGAAGAGAGAACACAGGGGTTGGATCTGTTGATATCTTGGAGGGATTTCCAACGATGAGTTCACGGCAGTGACAGTTGTGCCAGGTGTCTCAACATTACACACCTTCAGAATCATTCTGTCACAAAAACGAGAGAAATATCCAAGCAATACTTACATTCTTATTTCCGAGGTACATCACAAACATATCCTCAGTCCCCCCGTTTTCTCTTGAGTCTGGTCTTTGGAGAAACAAAGACAGAGATGTGTAGCCTTTCAAATCTTCCAGGTCATTCGGCAGCCGGACTTCAACGCCAGATTTCCCGTTGAACCTCATGGGGACCGCGACCTGTGAGGAATAAGAAGGCATCAAATGTTGGGCTGCGAAGAAAGTGGGTGCTCGGAGAGGTGTCTGTGACTTTACAGCTGTCCCCCTTAGTTTCAGCCTTCCCCACACTGTACTGATGAGGAGTGGGAGCGTGAGTCTCCTAGACCAGGGTTAGAAACCTTGGTACAGTTTGAGGAGCTAGGTAGTACAGCATTCATGTTCTCCCCTGTTTATCACCATGGGTCTCTGAGAAGTGCTTTTACTGTAGTTCCCTGCCAGCAATATTAACAATAATGATTCTAACTCCAGATGGGCTCTGTGTGCAGAAGTTAGGGAAGCACAGCACTTGCACAGTACCTGCATATATTAGATTAGATGTATCATACATCATATATATATAT